TTTGTCTTGTTGGTTATGATAATACATTACTGTTTGGTCTGAATCCTAATTTTATGTAAATTTAATGAGTAATTTTTGATGTTAATATAAAGAGGAAACATCAAATAGTATTTGTATATTAAGATTTCCCAGTTCGAAAGAAACCAAAACATTGCTAGCCCACAGGGAAAAATTCAAAGTTTTAAAGTGTTTTTCCTCAAAATCGTTTATTTGTCGCTACTGTTCAAAAAAAATGCTTCAAAAATTAAAGGATTAAATTTCTGACAGTTCATTCAAATGATACATTGATAAGGTATTAATTCATTTCATTTCATTAAAAATAAAAATAAAATACAATTTCACCTGTCATTAATGGACAAACTGTAACAAAATATAACAGATGATAGAAGGTCTTTTTCTTCTTGACTCCGGTGGTTTATCTCAGACATCGCCGTTCTGGTTTTGGTGTTTAACGCGGCGAAGTCGTGTCCCACCATGCCGGCGCTGTTCTCCGACCACACCTTCAGACACTACGCTTACCTGAGGGACAGCCTGTCTCACCTGGTGCCTCCGCTCAGAGTGAGGACCACACAGAAACTCTCGCTGCAAAACATTTCAGACCGCCTGAGGGAATCCTTTTAACCACCAGTGTTTTGTGCTGTTAGTCTAGTTTTTGATGTTTAAGTGAAGTTAAATTCCTCAAATCTGTGGGAATTCTTCAGGTTAAATCCTTCAAGTCCACAAAAACCTTCTGAGTTTACAAAATGAGACTGATGGTTTGAAATGAAAGTGAAATAAGACATGAAAACAGATCTGTAATCTCCTGCTTCATACAGATTAATAATCCCTGTAATGGTTGTTTCAGCTGCCGGGCAGGAAGCAGGTCTACAGCCTGGACTCTGTGGACTCCAGCTCCGGTTCTGGTTCCGTGGAGTCGGCCCAGCTCTTCCTCCAGCAGAGTCTGGACAGAGTCAGCACCATCCAGAACCTGGAGACCCCCGGAGCTCAGGACCTGCTGAACTTCACCATCCGGTAAAACCCTCAGGCGTTCACAGGAAGCAGCTGTCTGTGCTCGTTAACCACTTCCTGTCTGCCCCGGCAGAGACCTGCGGCGGCTCGGCGAGCTGCAGACGGAACTCGCGGGAGCCGCGGACTTCTGCGCCACGTACCTGCGCTGCCAGCTGCTGCTCATGAAGGTAGGACTGTGCGTGCAAAAGTTTTAGTCCGATCTGTTTCCTGAGTCCGGGAAGAACCTGGAGGTCTCGTTTCAGGCTCTGCAGGAGAAGCTGTGGAACATGGCCGTCCCTCTGTGCCTCAAACAGAATGTCACGGCCACCGCCGCGGCTCAGCAGGTCAGACACGCACAAACACCCCGTCCTCGTGGCGGCGGCAACTTGGAACTAAAACGACTTGCGTCCCGCAGATCCTGGAGGAAACCTACAAGCTGGAGTTCCTGTACAGCGGTTTGGAGAGCAGACAGGTGGCCACCATCCATCACGTGCGCCTGCAGGCCAAAGCTCTGCAGCTCATCCTGACGGCACGCACCAGACAGAGGTCGGTGCGCGAACACGTCTGCAAACACGTCTGCAGCAGGTCAACTGTTTGACACGCCTCTCACTTCTGCTTAGGCTGGACCTTCTCAGCAGCAGCTGTGAGAAGTTTCTGCAGGAGGTGGAGTCTTTCCGGAGGTAACGTCTTTATTTGTTGAAAAAACAGGAAGTGCTCCTGGAAGGTTTTTTTGCTTTTGTACACCTACCTTTCACAGCACAACAGTAACAAATCACTGGAAGCACTCAGAGAGCACAAACCTCTGCAAGAGTCCTTCAAAAAACTCCTGTTCCTGATTCCACCTGAACAAACATCAGTAACTCCCCTCATACTTAATAATCACAGGATTTTGGTGTTCTTTAGTATGGTTTATAATCAGGGTTCATGCAGGGTCTGAAAAAGTCTAAAATTTGAAATTCTAAATTTTAGACCGAAAATGTCTTAAAAACAACCAGATTTTCTTCCAAACTCAATTATTTTTACTTTTGATCGTGAGAAGTGTTGGCTGCATAAATAAACAGAGTAAAGCTCTGTAATCAGAGTTTGATGTGATCTGTCATCATGAAGTGCTCAGTTTCTGACCGGTCTTTGTATGTTGTTAAACTACAAATCCTGTGATAACTGCAGGCAGAAAACGGCACAGTTTACTTCATGTTTTCAACCTCTTTGCTGCTACAACCCCCCCACATACAGCAGCTTGTTCACCTGCAAGAAAAAGAAGTTCAGTCATGTCCACTGCTTGTTGTTTAAACATGAAAAAGTGTGTTTTCAATGAGACTTTGTTTGATATCAGTGATTTTTACATTCAGTTAGAAGCGGTCCACAGCAGTCCATATGAAGGTCTCATAGGTACATTTGTTTTATTAAAATAATTTAGTGTTCTTGTATTAAAATTAAATATTCTTTAATAGCTAAATTGATAGTAATAAAAGGTTTCTATGTTAAAATTTCTGTGACCATTTGAATGTTCCTGTTAATGTGTCGGTTTGGTCTTAAACATCATTCCTAATGGTCTTAAATTTAACTTACTGAAACCTGCATGAACCCTGTATGTTCTTTTGGAATCTGCTGTCAGATTTCATTTTAGTTAATTGTGTATTTATTTATTTATTTTTTTGGATCTATCTCCATAACAGTTGAAGTTACATGAAATATGCTGGTGCTGTACTGACTCAGTACTGATTCAGCTACAGTTTGGTCTTAGTTGGACATGTCTTGCCCGTTTCGATATTCCACATATTTTTCTGTGTTCTGGATCACCAGATCCAGATCCAGATTGTATCATCATCTTGCTTCATGATTCTATAAATCATGCAACTAGCCATGTTTCCATCAAGGTTTTTAATGCTCTTTTTGAAGCATCACTTCAGAAAAGGTGAATGGAAACGGCTCGATTCGCAAAAACTTCCTCTAATTCACAAAAAAGTTGATACGCTCACTGAGGTGGTGTTTGTTTGTTTTTTTAGAAAAAGTTAATGTGCAAAAGGAGAGTAGTCTTGTCCACAGACTGACTGACCAACATGACCTCCTCCCTTGGTGGAGGTGATGAATCTGGACCTAAATGTCTTCCTGTTTCCTTTAGACTGTTTCCTTCAGAGCTGCCTCACTTCCAGGACAGTTTTGTGGAGAAACTGTTGGATGTGATGCCTCGGCTGTTGTCCTGCAAACCAGCAGAGCTGGTAAAGATCCTGCAGACGACCCTGAGGCAGAGCGGCCTCCTGCAGCTCAGACTGCCCCAGCAGGTGGAGCTTTGTTTTATTTTTTACACAAAACTGAAACTTATTCTGGAAACCTGACACGGCTTTGGTGAACAGATCCACCGTGCGACGGCCACCATCATCGAGCCGACGGGGGAGTCCGACAACCCGCTGAGGTTCACCTCGGGCCTGGTGGTGGCGCTGGACATCGACGCCACGCTGGAACACGTCCAGGACCCCCAGAGCACCATCAAAGTGCAGGTCAGCCTCAGTGTGCTGCAGTGTTGTATCAAGTACAAGTATCTGATCAGCAAACTACTGTGGTAAAAGTTAAACTCTTTAAGCATCTGATATCTTTTGTTCTTAAGTATCAAAAGTAAATTTCTCACATAAAATGTACTTTAAGTATTAAAAGTAAAAGTGAGTAAAAATGAGTGCTTAGGTTTTCCAAAATGACATTTACTGGGAGGTGAACTTTCCAAAAGATATATATTTCTAAAGGCGTGCAGCTGTGATGGGTTGTGTACAATTTGGTGTCAGAGTTACATCAGGGTTCCTGTGGATCCTTAAAGTCTTAAAAGGCCTTGAATTCAGCCATCCGAAAATCAGGCCTTAATTAACCTTAAAAAGTCTTAAATCAATCTTCAGAAGTCTTAAAAATGTGACTCAACAACTGTTCATCTCAGTGATGTGACATTTGTTTTGTAGGATGTTAATAATACTGTCTTTCCAAAAATGCATTAATGTTTCGGCACAAAGACGTGCTGTCACAGGCACTTTTTAAGGTTTCATCTACAGCAAGCTGGGGTTGAGAGCCCACTGTGGGGCCTAAAACAACTCATTTTGGGTCATAAAAGGATTTACAGGAATTAAATTAAGTTTAAAACTGACTGCTTTTTTATAGCAAAAACATCCTTTCAGTTAGATCTGGATAAAAACAATCAATTGTTAGCAATATTTGAATAATTCAGCCAAAAATACTTTGATTCATGAGTTTCTGCCCGTTTTTATTTTTTTGTGAAATTGGTCAAATTTAATTTCATTTGGCATTTAAAAGTCTTAATTTTAACTTGCATTAAACTGTAGGAACCCTGTATATTTATACTTCTCATCCCAGGAGGCACAATTTCAGGATATTTTGTTTATTAACGAGCTGAAATGAAGTAGGAGTAACAACTTTCTACTTTTTTTTTTAATGTAAGGAGTAGAAGTAAAACGTATGCTGAAAAATAATTACTCCAGTAAAGTATTTGTACTTAGTTACTTCACAACTCTGATGTGCTGCTGGTTTGAACCTAAAAGAGAAATGTGTTGGAGTTGATCAGGATGCAGCAGGTTAGGGTTTATTTTTATTTCTTCTCTTGATCTACGGCTGCAGATTCTGTACCCAGACGGCCAGAGTCACGTGATCCACCCCAAACCTGGAGACTTCAGGAAGCCTGGACCCAACCGGCACCGCCTCATCACACAGGTGTACCTGTCCCACACGGCGTGGACAGGTCAGTGCCACAGACGGGTTCACGTCTTTGTTTCTAACTCGGAAAGCTGACGCCAAATCGTTTGTGTTTCCTCTCAGAGCCGTCGCATGTGGAGGTGCGCCTCCTGCTGGCCTACAGCTCCTCCTCTCCTCCTTCCAAGCTGGGATGGAGCGACAGCATCGACGGCCTCCCGCCCACAGAGCCCGCCGTCGAGGGGACGATTCCGTTCAGCAAACCCGTTAAAGTCCTCATCATGCCCAAACCCGCCAGACGATAACTTCACAACATTCAGGCAAAATGCAGTAGACAGTTTATTTGTAAAAAAAAAAAAAAAAAAACACATTTGTTGGAGAAACATTTTCTTATAAAGTTGTGACTGAAGCAACCATCTGTTTCTTTTCCTCATCACATCATTAATTATATTAAACAAATCTGTTATCTAAAAATAATGAATTTCTACCATCCTGAGCAAAAAGTGCAGATTTTAAAGTTTTCCTAAAGTCCTCTGAGACTGCACGTTCAACGTGATTCAGTTGTTGTGATGCTGTGGAGAACGTCAGCAGGTGGAGTGGAAAACCCCGCCCACTTTGGCGCCCTGGACGGCCAGTTTGTTGTACTCAGCCACGGCCTTCTCCGTCTGGAGGACCCGGACCTCGACGCCCTTCTGCTTCACAAAGTCCAGAGTTGAAGAAGGAACCTGAGAGACGACAGCTTCATCATCAGAACCAACGTTACAAACACTGGATCTATCAGAACCACCACTTTTAGCATTTGTAGCTTTTTTAATTAATTTAAAATATTGTTCTTTAACTTTAGCAAACTGACTTGTGCCATCTTTAGCTACGTTTTTTCTGATTTTATAATTTGCTGGTAGTCATTGATAGAAGAAGCTGGAGGACCTGCAGAGCCTCGTTCATCCCTCTCCCGATGACCAGCAGCTCCACTCCTTTCTTCAGAACCTCCTCCAGGTCCGCGGGTTGAACTCCGGGGTAATGCTGCAGACAGGAGACACACCTCAGACAAAAAGGCTTTTTTTTTTTACAATCTTTACACCACATCGAATCCCGGCTCACATTAGTCCCGGTCTCGGTCCAGTCCCAGGCCCGGCTGCCTCCAGGCCAGACTTTGCAGTCCTTGTAGCTGGAGGTGCTTCCCTTCACCCTCATGAGCCCCCAGGAGAGGGAGGAGATTTCTGGAGAGGACATGGCTCTGTGAAGCCAGAGGAAACGAGATTTAAAATGTGTTTTCAAACATTTCCTCCTACAATATCTGATTTAATCTGACTCTGATCATCTACAAACTGTTAAAATGATTAAAGAAACAAGTTTAAGACAAGATAAGAGTTCAAATCAGATTAAAACTCTGTCAGCTGTCATATGAGCCTGGAGGTTATTTTAGTACCAGACTGATTAATAAAAACACCTGTTAAATTCTGTTACTGCAAACCTCTGCAGAGGGTGAACAGTTAGAAACTTGTCATTTAAAATTTAGAGGAAATAAATGCTTACCCTGGACTCAGTTAATAGTACGGCTCCTGGTCCTGGAACAGTTCCTCCTTTGGTTTAAAAGGAGATACAAAGACAAACTTCACACCACAGAAAAACAGATTAACCGATTAGTCGCGACATTTAAATTTGTTACAAAATAATTAAATCAGAAGTTAAACCAAACCTGCTCAAAGTCACATTAAATGTCTAAATAGTCAAATATCATACTGTTTTTTTTATCATGTAATGTCCCTTAGTTCTGTTAGCTTACATACGTGAAGAGGAGGGTTAGCAGCTGCAGCTAACTTTAGAAAGTTAAATTAAAATCATTCCGGTTTATTTAAAGATCTGAGAACAAACTGAACTCAGCTTCTCGACAAAAACCCGTCCTAAACTCCAGTGTAATCACGGAATAATCTTACCTAATTAAACGCTAAAAGGATTGTTTTTCAAACGTCACCACGTTCAGCGAGATGTAAACAAGACCGCCATGATACTCCGGTAAGGCCACGCCCCTTCGCCTGCCAGGGCGGAAGTAGCGAAACTCAAAACAGGAAATTGAAGTTTGAATTCAACGTAAAAAATTGAATTCAAGTTTTTCTCTTCTTCAAAAATTGTCAATTTCCTTAATCAGATTTTTAATTAAATGATTTTTTTCCTGTATTTTTATATTTATGCTTTTAAATTGTTTAACTTTTGTCTTGTGTTCAGCAGTTTCATAACTTTTTATAATGTGCTTTTTAAGTACAATTAGATGAAATACTTCATTACTCATTTGAAATATAAAAAGGTGGCAGCATTTAACTTTGCATGTGCTGCTTTAGGTTTGAAATGTTTTATTCATAAAAAAGCCTAACAAGATTTCATTTGGATTTTAAACAAATCAAAGTCAGTTGATAAACTAAAGCTAAAAGTTTTAGATTCATGTCAAACATACAAGTTTCAGCTTCAAATATCAAAATTATAACAAAGCAGCAAATTGCTTAAAAGAGTGATCAACAGTTCACACGCTTTATTTTAGACAAYGATCAGTTCACATACACAGTGCTCATATTTCATGTGCAACATGATTATGTTGAAATAATTTCTAAGCCCAGGTCAGTAAACATCAGCACCGTCACTCCTGTCAATCTTCAATCTGCAGCATCTGAAAAAAATAAAAGTTCAACTTTAGAACTTTGTTAGAGGTTCTGTAGGTTATTTTAAGTTTTATTGGTGGTTGTAGAGGGCCACATGTTCTCAGTGAGTCCTCTAAAACGCTGCTGCAGAGGCTGGCGCCCTCAGACCCACTGGGATGGTTTTGTTTTATGGTCACGTCCACAGCAAGTCAGGAACTCAGGATCCTGACAGCCTTGGTATGTGACCAAACATGCAGGAGAAAACTGCTGCTGAGCTACACATGCATTATCCTAAGCATTTTATTGCCAAGGCTCAGCAGTAAAGGGCCTCATTTTATTAATTCTAAGGATTCATCCAGTCACCTGCAGACTTTTGTCCTGTCGACTCCCTGCAGAGGACTGAGGTCGATTCTGCAGCAGCTGAAACCTGAAGAACAGAAGAGTCAACTTTAAACATTTTCACTGCAGAACACGTGATTTTATCCACTCGTATGATAAAATGTGTTTCAACCACTAAACCAGGACTCCAAACACCAACAGAGAGGAGACCAACGATGCTCAGCTGATGTTCTCTTGCACCGGCATTTAAACAGAGCAGCTGATGGAGCAGCTGACTGCAGATACAACAGTGCTGCTGGATCCATTCACATCAACAAAAACTACAACTTACTGCAAACATCAAGTCCTCAGACTCTTTCTGCCACATTCACGACCTGAAGAGAAAAGGAGACAAACTTTAGTTAACCTGTCAGGCCCCTAAAGGCTTTGAGGTCATTTCTGCCTGAAAATACACAGGAAAATAAAAACAATAATTCCAGTTATAAAGGTCTACATGCCAACGCTTGGTACCTCTGTAAAGATGTGACCTTAAAGAGAATTTCTTAAGTAAAACCACTGTTGTAACTCTTACTGTGCCTGAGTTATTTGTGATTAAATAAAGAAAGAAAACAAGTTTTTGAAGCCTCGCCTAATTTTTTTTAATAAATCAACAGTGTAAAACAGTGAAAACTCTTGTGAAAACCCAGGAACATCCTTAGATTTCATACATCTGCATCTTGTGAATAATAGTAGTAAAGTAGGACTGAATAAGTTGAAGTATATTCGTTCCACAAAGGTTTCAGTGTGCCAGGCGGAAATTGCATTTTGGCACAATTCAGCCAAACGTACCCAAAACTGTGCCAAATGTTTTTTTTAACTTTATAAAAAAAAGAGAATCTGGTCTAATAGAAGTGTTGATTGCTATTGTAGGACTCATTTTGCATCCTTTTCTTATAACATTTACACTATCATCAAAATGTACCATTGTGCACACCATGAAATCACTGAAATGAACAATGAGATGAACTGTATCCTTTTGGCTCCATTTAGTGGAATTTTATTTTTTTAAATAAATTTATGACAAAACTTAGTGAATCACTGTGCAAAAGAACAATATCAATAACATGTTTCAGCGAGATTACCAGGACTCCAAACACCAGCAGCCTGGAGACCAACGATGCCAGACACTGACTCTCTTTAGCACTGACTTTTGAACAGAGCAGCTGATGGAGCAGCTGGCTGCAGATACCACACAGTGCCTCTCTCTATGTCTGCTGGACAAACTTACTGATGGAAGCTCAACTCATGATTTAATGGACACCAGGAAGCAGGTCAGACTCGTAAATCCACCACCTGAAAGACAAACAACTTCCTGTTAAATTTGAATTTAAAATAAATCTTACTTAAACCGGCCCACGTAGGAAGCCTGCCTGTGCTCGTTGTTCTGTCGTATATCCCACCAAGCTCACAGCAGAGCACGTGGGTAAAGCGAACAACAGATTTACTCTCTGAGGCTTTTCCAATTAATAAACTCTACAGACAAGAGTTCATCAGGACAGACCTCAGAATTCATAAAGACACAGCAGGTTATAGGGGTGGAACGAGATCTCGGACGAAATCTCGCGATATCGTCTCACTAACAGTGTTGCAACTTAGCCACTTTGTCACTACATCTAGTGACATTTTAGACCCCTCTAGGGACAAATCTAACAACTTTTCCCAGGGTTTTTGGAGACTTTTAGAAGCTTTGGCGACAGCCCTTTCCTCTGCGAGCAGCAAGCCCCTACACCTTCCTAAAGTGGTCCGACCAGAGCCCTAGAGATCTGATAGATGTTCATAAAGGGAAAATAATTACTTATTTTTGTTGGTTTTATTATTTATGTTGAATTTTTGTTAAGTAAAAKAAGTAAAAACATGCAAAGATCCTAAAGAAAAGGCATATTACTTGTTTTGTTTCATATTCAGTGTACATTGCCAATGCAATGCACACTATTGTGATTCGTTTTCCAACCAAGTCATCTGAACTTTGCCATGCTTCTCCTCCTGCATACTTTGTCCTAGAGCTGCCATTCTAATTTATATCTGTAAAGCCCCTGTGCCAAATGATGGCTATGTCTTTTGGTGCCTGTACAACCTATAGTTTTTTAAATATTAATGTTTAATAAATTATAATGGCAGTCAATGGATAGGTCCAATACTGCCCCCTGCTGCATCTACACAATATGGTACTGTACCATAGTTTAATAATATTTAAACTCAGTAGTTCAGTGATTACAATATTAATATGATTGTATTTTTATGTTTTACTGTAATACTGTCTTTATGCTGTCCTATTGCTGTAATATATTGCACTTAAGTGTCAATAATTGCATTGGCAAGGTAAACTTTTTCTGTATACATACAATCCAATCCCTGGGATTATCCTCTGCCACATCTCCTATAGTCTCATGATGAGCACGGTGGGCTTTCATGCGGGAGATCAGGGTTCAAATCCAGCTACTGCTAATTTAACAAAAATCTCTTCAAACTTTATATTGTCACACAATTACCTTAATTACAAACACCTGCTGACGTGACAGGTACAAGCTGGTATAGAAAACATATTTGAACTTTGTCACAGTTCATTCTGCAAGTCCAATGCTGCAGGCAAAGCCATGCTGCAATGATATGCTACGTGGCAATGCACACTTGTTTTTACATCGTAAAAACCCACGTCTAGTTATTTTCAGTTTTTGGAACGTTTTGCATGAATGTCATGTTTTTATATGATGTTGGAAGGTTTTAAAGCACTGTTCTAAGGAGATTCAATAAGTCAGAAAAAAAGATCTCAGTTGAGTTTGTAATAAATGTTAAAAACAGAACAAAAAACATTTTTGCAGCATAAAACAGATCTTTGAAGTTTTTTTGAACAGGGTTCCTGCAGCTTGACACAAGTTAAATTTAAGACTTTAAGACCTCTTTAATGCCACTTGAAATTAAATTTAAGACCAACTTAATGAAAAAAAAAAAGTTAGCAACAATTTTACCCAAGTGTTTATGCTAACACAAAACCACTAACTGTGAGAGACATTCAGTAAATTTATTTTTTAAATAAATATTTTAATATGAGACAATCATCCTACTTAAACATTTTTAATTCCTTTGAAAGTTTAATTTAAGACATTTTAAGGCTAATTTAGGTCTTATTTTTGGTTTGATGAATTCACTACTTAAAACTTTAAGGATCCACAGGAACTCTGTTGAAACAAATATTAAAATCTCATCTTGCAAACTCAATACTGTCTTGTCTCAAGAGTTATGTATCGTCACACCCCTATCTGATTACCTTAAAATAATTAATTTATTAAACAGGATTTACTTACATCACATGTGAGCACGACGAGGATGAAACCTGGACAAATCAGAGGGCTGAACGTCAGAACGTCGTATTAAAACAATCAAAACTGTCAGAGCAGCAGCTGTTCAGAGAGGCAGCTGTCACTCACACTTCAGAGCAGTTGAACATTTTCAGCCATTCATCATAACTTTAATAAAATAAAATAAAAACACCACGTTGTAACAACAGGACTCACCGTGTAGGCCTGACTTCATCCCCATCACCTGGTGGACAAAGACCAGGTGTGAGAACAGCAACTTTCACAGAAATTAAAGTCATTTTCTAACTTCTGGTTGTCACTTCTCATTAGTAACACTGCTGCAGACCATGAACAGCAGTGGGTTGCAAGAGAAATGTTTGCTCTTTGCACTGTGTGAGCGCCGTGGTCCACCTGACGGAACCAGAGCTTTAAACTGTGCTTCACTGTTAGTGATGGAGGCTTAAAGACATCAACACTGACCTGCATCACTCACCTGCAACAAAGGTGGTCAGCCAGCAGACCAGGGAGTTCACAAGCATCATAAAAAACAGCCGAGTCATCCTCTGTATTATGCAAACAGGACAGGAGTTAGTGACATTTTCACACGTGATTTATTCAGATGTGAATGTGCAAGGCCTCATTGTCACCGTTCAGCAACTGATGATGCTGAGATGAAAGCAAAACCTGACTGTTTCTGTAACCACTGCTGCTCAGGATCAGTCCACTGAACAGGAAAACCCAAACAATGACAAGCAAGCTGTGGTAACAACCCCCCGACTCCTTAACTTCAGGGGCTGATAAATCATGTAAATGATAACATGATTTAACTTGTTTTAAAGATTTTTAATCGTTTTTTGCAAAATGCAAAAAAAAAAAGCAAAAATAAATTAGCTTAAACACTCAAATCTACAGTTTACCACCAGTCTTACATGTTATTCAGTAACAGCTACTGTTCCTTAAGGCCTAATAAGCATTTTATTTTTTTGTCTTTATGATTGTTTTAAAATGATCGATCAAAGACAAAATACAAAAGATAAAATACCAATAATCTAGAAAATCTAATCATCTATGAGCATGTTTCCAAATACCAATAACCCTTATTTGAGACATTTATGGGGAGCAGTTTAGCATCTAGCAGCTAAAGCGCTAACGCTAACTACACGAGGAGTTGTCCACGTCTCGTTTTTGCTCGTTAATAAAATATAAAAATATAAAAATGTCAGACGGTAAGGATTATTTTCCACCAGATTAATATATATATAATGTTTAAAACCTAAGAAACAACCCATACTCACCCATTTGTCTGCAGGTTAAATGTCAGCTCTTCAACCGACAGGCTRATGAAGGAAAAAGGGACCAAACCCTCGTGGCAGCGCTGTTTAAAGGATGCTTTACGACAACTGGTGCTGCTTTTCGGCAACACGTGACAAGAGGCAGGATTAAAAAAGAGACAATTTTTAATTGTAGTACAAGTATTGAACGAATGAATAATGTGTATTAAGGATTCTGCAGAAAATAACAATGGAGGTAAATAGAACAAGTCTTATCAAAGTCTATGAAAATAACCATTAATAGATCTCTACAGTTCTGTGGAATCTCCTTGAARATAAAGTTATTCTGCCATCTAGTGTTAGATTTGCAGAACTACATCAAACTACTTCTGCTTTTTT